CCCCAAGTCTTTTATTCCAAATACACCCTGAGAGTATATTTTCTATTTATAGGCAAGGTACTTTTTATATTCTTTTTTCTCTTATTTTATTCTTTTGTTTTGTTTTTGGGATCACACTCAGCTGTGCTTAGGACTTACTCCTGCCTCTGTGCTCAGGAATTATTCATGACTGAACTCAGGGGACTACATGGGGTGCTGGGGATCAAACCCAGCTAAGTGCATGTAAGACAAGTGCCCTACCCACTATACTATAAATCCAGCCCCCATTTTTTCATATTCTACCTTCAAGTTAGGAATTGTATACTTTTCTTTCTCAGGGAAAAAAGTTTTCTAACAAAATCCATTTTACAATAGTCTGCTCTGGATTCACAGGAAGAAATAATGAATTAAGAGCATATTTCTAATGTAATAGTAAATCAAAACTGAATGCATCCAAATTCTATTTTGATTTGTTGGGGACTGATCCAAAACAATTCTCCTTATTCTTAAATTCTTTTGTTGTATTCTTTACAAATAAAAAGACAATGGGAAAACAGTTTTGCCTATGAAGATAATCTAGTCTAAGTCATTCAGGAAAGAAGAAACAGAGCACATAAAACAGCTAAGACTAAATCAACAGCAGCAACAACAAAAAACAATTCAAAATTTGGAAGTTTGAAGTGAAATGAGTGTAGTCCTGTTTCACCTTCATAAAATGAGTGTGATGATGAAATTATGCACATCTTTAATTTGATATGTTTATATTAAATAAATATTGTTAGCATTAGACATTTGAGGGAATAATGATATTGCATGCAATTAGCTTCAGGAAAGAATCACAAGGGGCCTCCAGAGAAAGGAGACCTCTGGCTTTGCATGAATGAATGCAACTTAATTTGTGTTGCTTCTTTCAGCACTCCCTGCTAACATTTATATTGTTGAACAGTAAAATACCCACATCCAAAGAGGAAAGGAGTTAAAGAGTAAAAAGAAAGAGAGAAAGGAAGGAAGGAAAGAAGGAAGGAAGGAAGGAAGGAAGGAAGGAAGGAAGGAAGGAAGGAAGGAAGATAGGTCAATGCCTTTTAATGGGAAACTAATATGGATGAGGCAAATGCGACAAGACATCTGACCAATCCATGTCTTGTTGGCAGTTAGCTCTAAGCTCTGAGAAATGGTCACTAAAGTGAATGATAAATATGATGAAAATGGTTGTGAAGATGTGTAAAAATAACACTGTCCTCTCCACCTGTGCATAAGGGGACTTGAGAACATCTTCTATACAAAGCAGCATGCAAAGAGTAAGTCCCAAGGGTACAGGAGCTAAGGGGGGGAGGGAGAATAAGAATCACCTCCAGTCTGGCAATAGGGACCGTGAAGGAATGACAGCTTGTAAAATAAGCCTCCATCAGTCTCCCAGGAGACAGCCGACCTCAACTTGGGTGTTCCCTGCTTGTTAGCCTCAATCATAATTGGTCTCTCCTCCCATCCCACGTTGTTGGTTTTCTGTGTGTGGCTTTTGGTATGAGCGTGTTAGGTCATCAACAGATACAATGGCAAGAGGGGGCAAGTGGGGACACACATGATTGTTTTAAAGAAGAAAGGAGAAAAAAGGATAAGAGAGAGGGCAGGAAGGCTGCTAACAGAATGGGGAAGATGCCCCAGGATTTAGGCTTCCTCTGAGGCAACCCGTGGAGTGTTGTGGGGGTAGGGAGCAGCTCCCTGGGAGTTTTGTTAAAGAGAGAAGCCCACCTCAAGCTGGGGATCCTGCTGAGCACCACTGGGATACTCATCTACTCCATACAATTTTTGTTTGCTTGTCTCTGGAGGTGCCTGTAACATCCTGCCTCTATCTGACAAGCTCATCAAAAAGGATGTATGTGTAGCTGTGTGTGTGAACACGTGTGGATGTACGCGCCACACACACACACACACACACACACACACACACACAGCAAGAGAGAGAGAGAAAGAAAAAGAGAGAAATTCTTGTAAGTTTAGTATATCCTCAAAGAATGCATATTTGGAGTCACCAAAGGCTCAAAGAGCATTCAGTAATCCCACTGGGCTGTTCAAGCACACAAATTTATTCCAGGAGCCTACTTCATCCATTCTAAAAGTAGTTTTTCTTTCCTCCTTATCTTTTTCTGCATTCCATTCCCCCCTTCCTCCCCCCCCCCCCCCCCCCCGCTGTTTTCCCCTCTTCTTTTTCAAAGAAAAACCACTCCTTAGGGGAGATGTTATAAGAAAATCATGATCTGGGATGCCAGAACTATCTTAAAGGGTTGATCCCTGGCATCACACCTGCTAACATCCTAAGAGCAGGCTGAGCACAGGGTGTGGCAAAAAACAAAGCAAGAAAGTTAACAAGAATACGGAAGGAAGGAAGGAAGGAAGGAAGGAAGGAAGGAAGGAAGGAAGGAAGGAAGGAGTGGTGGGAAGGAAACAAGGAAGAGAAAGACAAACAAAAAGGAAGAAGGAAAGAAAGAAAGAAAGAAAGAAAGAAAGAAAGAAAGAAAGAAAGGAAAGAAAGAAAAAGGAAGGAGGGAAGGAAGGAAGGAAGGAAGGAAGGAAGGAAGGAGAAAGAAATTGTGATCTGAAGTCAATTATAAAGGTGAAAGGAGACTTGCCCGAAGTCAAGGACTTGTAGATACAGGGCATTGTTTTTGCTCAAAGGGCTGAGGCACAAAACATCTGAAACCCTCAGATATTTATTTTCTTTAAAAAGAACATTTGATGGGGAAAGGGGGCAGTGAAATCATAATTACAGCAAGTTGCAAACTTTGGAACTAGTTTTAATTTTTGTTTTATTTGTATTAAATAATGTTACAGGCAAGTCCTCTCTGACTGGCTTATGGCGCCACTTTAGCAATCAGCTAAGGTATTTAGGGTCTGTACCCCAGGAAAATTGTGCTACAGAGGAGAGAGCAAATTGGGGCCAGGGCACCAAGGAATGAGGTGCGAACATCTTTTCTGAGTGATAGGATTTGCAATCTAAACATGTGCACAGTTGTTTTGCCAGGCTAGGTCCCTGGTAGGGTCTAGGAAGACGTTCAGTTCCCTAGGACAAATGTATGGCAGGAGTCTGTGTGTCTAGGAGAAAAATAAATGTCCTTGATGCTTTTTTCTAGCTACTTCTCATCTACCCATTCCAGAAGATTTTGTTTCTGTGTCCTTCTCCCCAATGGGAGGACCTCCATAACCCTAATGTTCAGAAGGATGTGCTAACCATCTGAGGAAATTAGTTTTTAGGAGGGAGTGACCGGTATCTCACTGAAGATACACCAGTCCTGTACCAGATTAAAACTTAGCTTCTGTCCACTGGAACCCTCACATTAAAAGGCTCCCAAAGCACTGAGGATTGGAATAAATACATGAAGCTAGGTGATAAAGATCAGGCGTTTAATTTGACCATTGGGAAAGATTACATCTCTTCAGCTAGGTCCTTTCTTTCAAAATTCGCATTGAATTAGGAGCAGTGCTACCAGACAACCGCTCTCAAAGGCCTGACACCTTTTAATTCGTTCCTGAAGTGGGTTGGGCTAGGTGACCAGGCGCCATCAAAGGCCCGAGGGAAGGCCGTAGGGCAACACTCGTTTAATGACAAGTAATTGACGGATTCGAGGCCCCGCATTACCAGCAGAATCTAGAGGCATTAATTATTTAAAAACGATTAGCCTCGCCATGTGTCCTGCAAGCTTTCTATCTTGTTCTAGGAAGATAGAACCACGCGAGCCGGGAGGCCGGGCTTGGCGGGCAGCGGGTGAGGCGGCCAAAGGTGCGCCAGGGACGGACGACTTGGGAAGCAGGAGCGCCAACATATGGGTCCCCACCCGAGGAACTGCCCATCACCTGCATTGATATTTTGCCCATTTGGAATCGGGAGCAAGTGAGTGCAGCGCAGAAGAAAAACGCTTTCCGCGTGATGTGGCGGACAATTTGCTGAGTCGGGTACCTGAAGAATCTCAGTACATTGCAAAATATCCAGAATCGTTGAGTCACTTTGGCCTATACAGGAGCAAATATCCAATGATTTCAAAGAAAAACTCCCAGGAGTAGTAGGGAAGTAGGGTAGTAGTCTTTTTCCCGGGAGTGGAGGGCACCTGTAGACCCCAGGAGGAAAGACGCCCTTTCCCAGTGCCCTCAAAAGCCAACGGTAGCATCAGCACTGATTGGGTTTCCCGAACCTGCGCCCTGTCACGGGCGGCAGAAACGTGCGGTCGTTTCTGCACAGCCGCTGGACACCACGGCGCGCGCCTGCAGTGTCCGCGACTAGAGGACCCGCAGATAAACTCCCGGCAGCCGCTTTCTAGCTTCTCCTCCTGGTCGTCCTGGCTGGTAATCCCGAGGATCAAATTCTGAATGTACTCTCAGTGAAACTGTCAGCTATTTGCAGCAAGAACGAAAGTGCCCCCGATTCCCTAAAAGTCGTTTTCTCCCGCCCTGCTCCCGCGTGGCCACTGTCCCTCCTCTGCCCACCTCGACCCCTCGCTTCTCAGAACGCCTAGACGAGACCCGAACCTCGCGCGCCGCGGCGGGAAGGCGGCGCCTGGCGCTCCGGCCTCTGCAGCCCGACAGCGGGGCCTTCCCGCGGACCCCTCCCTCGCTCTAGGGCCAAGGGCATCCCCAGGCTCCTGCCCCGAGTCGGGGCGGGGTGCGGCTAGGACTCACGCCCAGGATCGAATTCCCGAACCCAGAGAGGTTTAGGGACCTGTCTTGGTTTCCAGTGGCTTAGGGGGCCCTCGCAAGCCCTGCGCTGAGTCCAAATTCAGTTGAGAGTTTACATCTTTCACCCCCTCACCACCCTCCTGCCCCGGGCTTCCTCAGAAACATGCCCCCACCACCAGAAGGAAAAAAAGGCCACATTTCAAATCCTGGGGTCATCGTGGATTTAGCTTCTCTCCCTACCCCGACTCCCACCTCCAGGTGTCAGAGCCCCAGAACTGGAGGACCGGCTGGGGGAGGGGAGGCGTTCGGACCCGAGTGGGGGGCGGGCGTTGCGGCCCGCGTGGGCGCGCTCCTACCTGCGGCGGCGGCGGCGGGTCCGGCGCGCGGGAGGCGGCCGACTGCTCCAGCCCAGGCATCCCCGCATTTATTTGAGCTCAAACCGAGCGACTGTTGACTTTAGCACACAAAGCAAAGATTTCACTGCCCGCTAGTTTAAAAATGAATATTTTACCAAGATATCGATCAGCATTATAAAATTCAGTTAAGTACAATGGAATCCTGGCAAAAAAAAAAGAATAATAAAGGAGGGGGAGGCAATATAATATCTGTGCAAATTTGCTGAAGTGTGACGTGGCATGGAAAGTTTACCCTCCTGGAATTCGGATCTAGAATGTTTTTTTCGGTTATTTACTGACTTTGTTTATTCACCGATCATGGTTGCTTAAACCGGCGCGGAAGGCACAGGGAAAAGGGAAGAAAGAGGGAGGGAGGGAGTGAGAAAGGCCGCACCCTCCGAAGGCAGAGTTGGGGGAGCGGCGCGGGCCGCGCGGGGAGCCCGGCTGGGGGAGGGGTCGGGGCGGGGCTGTGCGGGAGACCCCAAAGCGCAGGGACGCCTCCCAAGGCGCCCCGACCCCCGACATCCTTTTCATGTATTCGGACAGAACTGTATCTTATCGGCTGGGATCAGTGGAGGGGGCCACGCTAAGTAGTTTAAAACGACCCTCGCACAATGGGCGTGCGATAGGAAACATAGCAGGTTAGGGCCGCGCTTTCAGCCCCATTGTCCCCCACCGGCCCCCGGCCCTGCCTCTGGGCTCCTTCGCCACGGGAGCCTTTTATGTGATAATGAAACACATTTCAGGCCGGGCTCCCGACGACGTGTGTGTCCTCGCCAGGGAAGAGGCCGCGCTGATTGCAGCCCTCGGCCTCCGGGTCCACCCTCGCTCCCCACCCCACCCCCACCCCCACCCCGCCCCAATTTTTCGTCCCTGTGTTCTTTAGGACAATGTAGCGTGTTAAAAGGGGATTTAGGGGACGGAGGTGGGGGCGGAGGCAAGGGAAAACCCCCCTCAAGCGCGTGGGAAGGCCCGGATCTGATAGGGCAGAGGTCCATAAGGTGGTCGAGAGGGACACGGTTTCGCTGTCCGCGACTGGGGGAAGACGGGACACTCCAAGTCTTTATGACCCACAAGCTCGAAGATTTCGTTTCAAAAACTGGGCTTGGAACCTCAAAGCCTGATGCCAGAAATCTTCCTAGAGTCCCTATCCATGGGAGCCAGCTGCCCTGTGGACGTCCCCAAGTGTACCAGGGCCCAACGGGACACTGGCTTCTGCCCTTATATTACAGACTTCCTAGGAAAAGCTCAGGAATGAGCCCCTAGGTGGGCTGGCAGGGGCTCTGTGGGAAGCGGTGGTGAAAGTGGATTCTGCCAATGTCAGGCCGCTGTGAGAGAAGCAGTTTAGTTTCTAAGAATTTATTGGGGGTCTAAATACATTTGGAATTTCTCTGTTAAGCTCACACATTTCTTCAGTCCTGCTGCAATCCTGACTAGCCACGCTGAGCTAACAGAACACGACCTTTTTGCAAGGACATCGGTATTTAAGATGCAGGGCGGAGGAAGCATATCTGTAAACCCTGGTCTTTCAGTTCACTTGACCTCACTTGGAGGAACTGTGACCAGACTCTTACCTCTGCTTCGTCCCTGGACTGCACTTCAGTGTTTAAAAGGACCCATAAATGAGTACCCCTTTAAAATCATTCCCGGAGATAATCTTGTTAGTGGTGGGGGTGGTCGTATAGTGTACAATTTTCAAGGGGTGGTGCCAAAATTTTCACTACTCTGGGACCATGGAAAGAACTCTTGAAGTTGTGCAGAATACGTAAGTGAAAGAGAGTAGGTTGAGTAAATGTAAACCTGAGAATGTAGGGGTGTAGGTGGGTAAAGGGGCACCAGAGAGGCAATGTCGAAGGGGCATGGTGATCCTCCAGGTATCTGCAAACTTAGTATGCTATCCTCTCACTTGAAGGGAAGCGATTAGAAATATAACCAAAACATGCAAAATCCAGACTTTTCTCCATATAAGTCAGTTCTGAGGCCTAAAATAGAATTTTCAATACACTGTATCTTCACTTAGCCCAGTCATAAAATTAAGATGTGTGATTTTTCTTTTGACTTTAAAGATAAACCTGCATTGAATCCAGAGCAATGCTCCTTTGAGATCTGTGTAAAAGCAAACTACACACACACACACATATGTATGTATTTAAAGCATTAACAATATTGAGGGGCCTGAGATATGGTACAGTGGGTTGGGTGTTTGCCTTGCACGCAGCTGACCTGGGTTCAACCTCTGGCATCCTACATGGTCCCCCAAGCACCGCCAGGAACAACCCCTGAGCTTTGCCAGGTGTGACCCAAAAAGCTAAATAAATAAATAAACCTAACACTGAATTCTATTTTATGATGTTCCTGTGTTTAGAAGTAAGTGTACTGGTATCTGAAATTTACTTGGAATTATTTTGAAAATATTTACTTTGAAATGCTGAGAAAAACAAGATGAATTAACCAGTGGTGATAACATATGAGATGTGACACAATAACTATAGGATCTGGGCAATGGGCAATGGGGGCATTTTCTGTAAAATTTATTCAACCTCAATATACCTGGAAAAAATTAATAATAAAAGGGTTGGTAAAACAGGAACCACCAGTCACTCATATAAAATAAACCTTCAACCAGCTAGCTTCCCTCAAATTTTAAATAATTTCCAGACTTGTTTAAGTCAGGCAAGGAAAAAAAATCTTAAAGATTCAAAGAATTAAACCGGCAATAACACTTTAATATAGTTTGTGGAACTCTGGTCTTTGAAGCCAGACACACATTTATAAGCCATAAATAAAGCACGCAGAAACCATAAATTAATCAAACCCAAACCTGGATTTCACTGTGTCAAGAATGGGAATGCATTTTTTTTCTTTTTCTTGGTCATTTACAAGAGCCTTACATCACTGTTTTCTCTTTTCAAACAATAGGTACAACTCTGTTTCTGTTAAAACTACATGGTTTTACACTGAGCCACTCACAAAAGGGGTTTTTTTTTTTTTGTTTTTTTTTGGGGGGGTATATAAAGTGTGACTTCCCTGCAACACAGTAATGGAGGAGGATAACAACAATAACAACAACAACAAAATCAGAATTTTCGGGTGCTTAGAGAAGCAGGCATCTACATCGTAGTGGAAACTGGAGGCCTTTTTTTCTCTTTTGGGCTGTTCACCGGCCGCTTCTTTCCCTCCTGACATAGAAGACCTATGGGTGTGGCCCAAGTGTTCCGGAGGGCAGAGCAGGGGGGAGGGGTACGCTGTCCTGGGTCCGAGCTGGAAAGGATCCCTTCTGCTAATTCCCTCAGTTACCCTTCTCCAAAGTTTCCATGCCCCTCGTCTCTTTCTCCTTGTCAGAGCTGGCCAGAACGGCGGCTGGCTTAAGAGGAGTTCATGATGGGCCGGGAGTACACCCCCTGGTAGTAGGAGGTGTCCGCGGCTAGGGGCGAGGCGTCCAGGCCAGCTTTGTTCGTGACCGGGCCCATGGCCAGGCTTCCCGGCATAGGCGAGCCGTAGCCAGGGTAGTGCATCACCTGTTCGTAGGCCTTGAGGTCCATTTTGTGGGGCTGGTGGTGGTGGTGGCTGTGGTGGTGCTGCTGCTCGGAGGACATGAGGTTGTTGATGGAGAAGGGGTGGTTGAAGGCGTAGTGGTGCTCGGGCTTCAGGTGGGCCTCTGGCGGCAGGCCCGGGTGGTGCGGCCCCAACAGGTGGGCCGCGGCCTGCTGCTGCTGCTGCCCGGGCGAGGGCGCCGGCTCCGGGGGGCTCAGCGCCGCGGCGGGCGTCCCCTTCAGCTCTCCCAGGCCCCCCCGCTTGTGCTCCTGACAGGGCGAGGAGCTCGAGTGCGGTGACTCGGTGCCCCCCGGAGTCTCGGCCGCCGGGCCGGCCGCCTCCCCCAGCGGGCCCTGCGCGGCCGACGCGCCCGCCGCGGCCTTCTTGCCGGCCCCCGGGGCCCCCGCGGCGTCCTTCAGGGCCAGCTGCTTCTCGCACTTGAAGCGCTTCTGGCGGCGCAGGTAGCAGCCGTTCTCGAACATGTTGCCCGAGTCCGGGTGCAGGGTCCAGAAGGAGCCCTTGCCGGGCTTGTCCGGGGAGCGCGGCACCTTGAGGAAGCAGTCGTTGAAGGAGAGCGAGTGGCGGATGGAGTTCTGCCAGCGCTGCTGGTTCTGCCGGTAGAAGGGGAAGAGGTCCATGATCCACTGGTAGATCTCGCTCAGCGTCAGCATCTTGTTGGGGCTCTGCTGGATGGCCATGGTGATGAGCGAGATGTACGAGTAGGGCGGCTTGGCGTGCGTGTAGCTGCGCCGGTAGGTCTTGGGGTCGCGCGCGCGGCTCAGGCCCGCCTGCCCGTACACGGGGCTCATGGCATTCATGTTGGCGTAGGGGGCCAGGCCCCCCATGGCTCCGGCCGCCTGGCCCCCGAGGGGGCTCAGGCTGGGACTCAGGTGCGGCCCCATGCCGGCCACTCCGGCCGCGCCGGCCGCGCCGCCCATCCCGGCCATGGCCCCGGCCCCGGGGGACACGCCGGCCAGAGACGGGCTCATGCCCGCGCCCACGTACGAGGACATGTTCATGGAGCCGGCGCTCATGTTGCCCGAACCGCTGCCCATGGCCGCCGACATGCTCATGTACGTGTTCATGCCGTTCATGCCCAGGCCGGCGTTCATGTTGCTCACCGAGGAGTAGCCCTGCGGACAGAGTCCGGGGAGGGAGGGCACAGCGTTAGCACCGCGGCTGGAGCGCGGCCGGCCCGCCCGCCCCCCCCCAACCCGCCCGGGAGGCCCGCGCGGGGCACCAGCGCCGAGTCTGGCGCATCCCCGGGGGCGGCGGCGGGGGGCCGCGGAGCTGGGCCTGGGCCCGGCGCCTCGCCCCTGCTCCTGGGACCCCTAGAGCGCTCCACGCGCTTTCCCCAGCCGCAGCCTCCCTAAGTCTCCTGCTGGCTTCTGGAACCGGGTGTCACAGCCCAGAACTTCACTTGCGAGCGAGCAACCTGTGGGACACGGAGCAGCGCGCCCCTGGCCACTCCAGAGAAGCGCCCAGGGTCCCTTCTGCTCGATCTTCCTCTTTGGACCCCTGTGCTGGTTCCAAGAGAACAGAAACACTGGGTCCGCTTAAGTCTGGGGCCGGCTGGACACGCGGACGA